GGTTTGTTTTAATAATTCAGTGTATTCTGATAGATAGGCCACGGGGGCTTTTCTTCTCTGCAGATATGATTTGTGTTGTGGGCAGTGTTTTAAGGTTAGTTAGTGTTGGGTGTTCCACTGCAGTCTTTATGGAGGCACAGGGGGAATCTCATACTTGCAGGTTAGGTTTTCCATTTCTCAGAGTGATATTTATGGCTTTGCATCAGCTGTGCCATGTGAGTGATGTAAGGACAGACAGTCTCTCAGCCCCCAAATAGCCCTGGAAAGAATAAAATTGAGATGGTGCAAAGTAACACTGCCAGTATATGAACAGCTGTTGATAAACTTTGGTGCATTATTACCAATTTCAAGCACAGCCTGCAGAGAATCGGAATGAGGCCCTGGCTCACCTGTGTTGTTACTTTAAAGGTGCCTGTAGTGTGATGCATTCAGAAAGGTTGGCTAAATCTTTGAAATGTGATAGTATACTAAAATGGTTCTGCTGCTGCACTCTGCCAAAACGTTTTGAACTGTTAGGCCAACCACTCAGATCCACGAAGACAAGGATAGCCCTATACAAGAAACGTATCAAATGGCACACCATTAATTGTGTTTTCATGACTAATATCCACACAAAGTTATGTTAAACATGCAACGCTTGCACGTTTGGAAGTCGTCTTTGTAACACGCCTAAGCAGCAGTGTTAAATCCCTGGTAATTGTGACCCACACTAAAGAGTGTTGCAAGAACAAGCGCATGTTTTCCCTGTATTGATGCGAGGCGGAGAGGACGAGGCAGGTTTAGGATTTCTGTCCGCCCCTTACCCACCAAAGGTCTGAGCGCAGCAACTTTAACTGCTGCCTTCTCAAGTGAGAGCAGCTGCAGCCTGAACCTGAGCCAGAAACCCAGGTGTCTGTGTCCATCAATACAACCCCCCCCACACACGCTCATGTAATTCACAAGTCTGCAGCCCGAGAGCTGTATATTCTTCATTTTTAAACCCTTTAAAAGATTTGGATGTCAGCAGTGCAATGAAAAGAGACCATGCTTGAGTGTTCACCTAACCTTTAGCATTTGGGTGCATGAAATTATGTATAAAGGGAATGAGAGTTGAACCAGACATCACCCCCAAACAATTGCTAGTCCAGGTGTTTGATTTTGCCTTTACTTATCTACTTCACCATGCCACTCATTTAAAGTATTTTTTATTTGGTCTGGAAGTTGGAATTTCTGAGTTCCACGTTGAAAGACCCCATCCTTTTCCAACCCAAAATGTGAAATATAATTCGGGTAGATGGAGATTTTTCACCAAACCCAACCTCAAAATCCAACGGTGCTGTATCGTAGAAGAAATGCAGTGATAGCTGCAATAATAACCTTTTTATGTTCACCTGCGTTGGTTTCTATCTCATTAAATCAGTTGCAGAGATAGTGCTGTACATCTTCTGTTAGTGAACATGTCGCTGCAGCGTTTGAATGCACAAAACAGACAAAAAAAAAACATGGTGCTATCACACTAACACTGATATCTTGTATTGACAATAATCCTTTGCACGGCAATGAGAAAATCCTACAGGGTTTTCACGTTGCAGCTGAAACATGGGGAAGTGGGGTGTGACATTATTCCCATAGGTCTGACTTTTACAGTAGATGGGATGACTTAATGTCTGTCTCACGGATAAATTGGAATAACTACAATCACAGAATGAGCTGTCATGATCTCCGCGCTCTCTGCCACCTGCTGGCACTGTCGGCCACGCCCACTTCTCAGCTTCAGAGCGGAGATCATGATAGGCTGCAGGAGGAAGCTTCGGGCTGCACACTGGTGCAGCAGGTGCTAAATAATTAAAAATAATTTATTTTAAATAAAAAATCCATGCCAATCATGTGGCTTATCCACCAATCAGCCAGTTGTGTGTCATGTCCAATCTTACTTTGAAAAACTGCAAAAGAGTGAGTCCGTGAAGCGCGAGTTAGCGAGGGACTACCGTTTATCTAAAAATTAGCAAAACAATGGATACAACTTAAATTTCTTTTCTGTTTCCAAGCCAAAAAATCCATTGTGATAATAAGATAACTTATTAACTTATAGTAACCAACAGCTAACGGCTAATAGTGGCTAACAAAACAAAATAAAAATAAGTGGCTGACAAAATCATCACATGGTGAATCAGTGACATGCTTCCGGCATGAAATCTTCTGTCATGTGTGCTCTTTTTCACCGAAGCAAAGGAGCTCTTCTGCACGGAAACACCCTTTTTATCAATTCAGTCCAGTTTCTGGACACTGCTAGTCCATTGTAACTTGTAGCCAACGCTTGAGCTGTGTATTGCTGTATCCTTCAATGTATTCCAAGTCGATTTTGGCCTCGGGGACGTCATATTAATTTAAGTTTACATGAGCAAAAGCGTTGGAGGTAGCCATCATGCATGAGATCTGCCGTGTTCTTTGCCTGACATCAGGGATTGGGGATTCCCTACAATTCTTGTGACATCAACCCTGATCAACGCGAATCCAATAGCTTCCTCTGAAATGTTTCAACTTGGCTGTAAAACAAATGTTAATTAAAATACTCTGAGTCGTGCATTTCTTCAGGTTTTCCACTTTGGCATGTTTTCAAATGTCTAAAACATTTGTCTTCTGTTCCAGGTAGTTTTGTTCTTCCTGAGTTGTCATCAGTTTACAATGCATGTGCGTTACGTCTACTCGTGCAAACGTCTGTTTTTAATATTGGAAACAAAGCAACAAGTGTGAAATCTTAGCAGGGACTTGGTGTCAAATGAGTGACTGCACTGCTGAGTCCCCTGAGCTTTTGATGAACTAACATTTGTTAATGTCTGTGACATCGGAGTAATTTGATATTTTTTCTGCCATAAATTCTGGCTCCTGTTCACTTTCTGATGCTGAACACTTTGTTCTCTAGTTATGAGTATTAAATTGACACAAGTCTCGGGTTTCCTTAAGCTGCACAGGTAAGCTGACTAAGTCCTTACCATTCACGATCTGGCGTCTCTGATCTGTTTATTGGAGGAAGTAAAGAACATGACAGACTGGGTTATATGTTCACACGCACAGTCATCAGTGGATGGCATGTTCTTCCAGATGTAACGAGACTTTGACCCCTGTCTTCAGCTCTGACTAATTTACTCGCAGCCTGTCTGACATGATCACATGATCTGATGATGTCATTCTGTTGTCAGCCAGTGACTTACCTGTCAGAGAGGAAACGGGGTAGATGACTGGGTTCTGTAAATTATGTGACTAATGGGAACATCTGGGCCTTGTTTGCAGCTATCAGACATTTCTCTTCCAGTCCGGAGTCACATCTGCAGTAAATCATGTGCTGTCGACTAATGACATCATGATGACCTTATAATGGCTGTTCCCGGTGCTGCTGAACGAAGGCACAGACAGACTCGTCAGGTTAATTATTAGGTGTGAACAGACGTTACACCAGGAACAAAGCAAGCACGACTTTTAGAGCGCTTCGATGTTTGAGCTCCTGCAAGAAGATAGCATGGTGATGGATGATTTAAACTTTTTAAACATGATTTTTATATTTTTTTAGACCTGATAATTGGACAAAATATTCTTCTCTGTTGGTTCAACTACTTTTGAACTTTTTGACATTTGTAACGTTTTTCTTCTCAAAAGTGAATCAGTATGATTATCAACATTATACCTCTAAGTAACTCTCAAATGATTGGGAACATGCTGGGATTTGAGCACGAATGTTAAATAACTATAAATAAATCATTTTGAGACAAATGCTTGAAACACCTGTAAAGTTTTTTTGTCCATTTTATACTTTCATCAATAATTTGGCCCAAAACATGTACCTATAAGGGTAAAATACACTGTAAAAATTGAGGTTTTATTATTTATCTTAGGCTCATTTAAAAAAATCCATCACTTAAGAAATATTTAAATATTTTAAGAAATGTATTAATTTTGTTGTATTGGTTGGTAGTTTGACTGTAAAGCATTTTGGTCAACCTCAGTTGGTTTTAAATGTGATAAATAAATAAAATTGACATTGACTTCTAATATTGACTTATTTCTAAGCATGTTTAAGTTATAAATATTAATAAATCCTCATTAACTGTTCAATAGGAAATATGCGACCCTTGCTATCCAAATCAGTCAAAATGAACTCAGGCTGCAAAACCAGAAATATAATTTTTTGTAGTAATTGAGATTTGTGGAAAAGTTAGTCCTTAAAGACACCATCGAGCAATCTTAGTAACTAAAAACTGAATATAATCTTCATAATCTATGTTTCAGTGTAAGTTTTGTAAGTGGTATATGTAAAAAATAATTATTTTAATTTCAATCCTTTTAATTTCTTTTAAAATTGATGAATTTTCTCTATTTGGCATCATTGTGGAGCTTCCTTTTTTTAAAAATATAGGGCTGGAATTTGTGACTACAGACAAATACAAAAAAACAAGTTTTCAAACTGGAGCTCTTCTTACCAAAACAAGCTTATTGACAAATAATAAATAGCCAAATTTCAACAAACTATGTAACATTTAGAAGCTTTGAGATGGATAATTTAGAAATAATTTAAACTCAGTATTGAAAATTTCTTTATTAAGACTCATTTAGCCAGGTCATGTGTTTTACTAAAATAATCTGCTTGTTGAAGACTGGAATATTTATAAAAAACAATCCAATAATTTAATCCAAGAGTTTTTGTGGTAGTTTTTAGATTAAAGTAACACAAGCGGTATTAATTATTAAATTTGGTTGTAAGAGTATTCAGATATATGTTGAAATAAAGAAATACATTTTGCTTGGGCACAATCTTATTTCTCTTAAGTGTTGTAAAAGCATATTAAAATTTGGACTTTAACTTATTTTATGTTTAAATGATTAAAACATGGTCGGCGGTGGGATTTTTGACGACACTAAAGTTGCACCTCAGCCTCTTTAAAAACAGGTTTTATTTAATCCTCCTATAATTTCCCGTTAAACCTTTTCATATAACCTCCGACTGACTTCCCGTGTTTTTTCCGCAGCTTACTCCGGGTGGAAAGGCAGCTCAGGCCGGAGTTGGGGTGGGAGACTGGGTGGTCTCCATCAGTGACACCAACGCTGAAGAAATGACCCATGTGGAAGCACAAAACAAGATTAGAGCGGCGACAGACTCCCTGACCCTCAGCCTCAGCAGGTAGGTTGTCTGGCAGTGTGTGAAGCAACAAAATTGTACTTTTATCTCATGCACGCAGGAGCATAAATCCCTGCAGTGCAATACTTTCCTTCATTTTCATTTGGACAAGATGAGATATCATAAAGTCCTTGAAATACTCCCTTATATGACAGATGGTTGCAAAACACATTATCATCGCAGAGTCCATTTTCATTTCGCCCACGGCAAAGAGTGGTTTTAGTTCAAATTCAGTTTTACTTCACAACTTAAAAAGTGTTAATTTCTGTCAGAATGTTGATTTTTTTTTTTTTTGGTCTTTATTCTCGTGCTTTTTTGACAGCAGATTATTTACATGTCTGCTAAACAGAATTCAGTGAAATGAGCCAAAACAAAGAGTGTTCTCTCATTTTGTGAATTTATTTACAAAGCTGCGGTGCACACACTGAATCCTTTGAACTCACGACACTTATTCTCCTCTGCATGCATACCAACCGGTGTTAGCTAGAAACCCTGGCCTTTATTCCTTTCACATGAGCCAGTCTCAGAGGAACCCTGGGTACTTTTCATTGAGCCTCAACTCCAAAATGAAAGCAAAGACATTTCCCTCTGATTAAAGCCGTCTGTCTTTCTTTCTGGGCCAGGAGATCTTTTAATTAGCACTGAGTCGCCCTCCTACAAGCAGCACTTATACCTGCTCAAATACGTCCTGCCAGAGTTTCTTGACAAAGTGTCTCTGAACAATAGAAAAAAAATGGGCTTGATTATTAAAAGAAAAAGAGATTTCAAACCCAGAGACAGTAAAAAAAAATAAATAAAAAAAAAGGAGATATCGACTTGCAAAGTAATAAAGATGAGCTTTCTGCTGCCGTGGGACTCATTTTGATTTTTTGATCCTCATAAGTAATAGGAGTAAAGCTGCGTTATCTCGTTCACCTCATTGTTGCCTGCCAGGAGACTTCACTTTTTAATTTCTTACACATCTTCTTTGTTCACTTAGTTTAAGTTGCAGGATATTTGAAGTCTTTCAGAAAGCAGAGTTGTTGCAGAGTTAAATAGTCTGAGATTCAGGTTTGATCAGGGCAGCTATGCGTTCTCATGTCATCGATTTCACTTAGAAATTTAGTGAACGGAGAGTTCTGATCTTTTGAAGTGGGGTCCTGTGGAAACACAATGAATATTTAATATCTTACCTGCTGTAGATAGAGCTTCAGGCCCTGTACACACGTAGCCTGGTGTTTGAAAAAACGAATATCC